TTTGATTGGTGAATTGAGGCCATTAACATTGATAGTTATAATTGAGAGATATTGACTCATTCTTGCCATGATGTTTTATTGTTGTTGGCTCTTTTCTTATTTTTCCCCCTTTCCCTTTAGTGCCTTGCCTTGTGTGGTGTCTTCTCTCTGTTGACCCTCATGGAATTGTGACCTTCATTGTCTTTTTCTAGGACATTGCATAAAATTTTGGAGTGGTGGTTTGGTGTTCATGACATTTCTCAGGTGTTCTTTGTCGTGAAAGTATCTAATTTCTCCATTGATTTTGAAAGATAATTTTACAGGATACAACAGCCTAGGTTGGAAGTTATTTTCTTTTAGGGCTTGAAATACTTCACTCCAGGCTCTCCTTGATTTGAGGGTTTGTGTTGAGAAATCTGCCGTGATTCTGATGGGCTTCCATTTGTAGGTGATTTGCTTCTTTTCTCTAACTGCCTGTAGAATTTTGTTCTTCTGTTGGGTTTCTAGGATCTTGACTATTATATCCCTATGTGTAGATTTCTTTGATCATGGCTGGGTGGAGTTCTATATGCCTCACTTATCTGTGTGTCCAATTCTCCACCTCTGTCTGGGAAGTTTTCTGCTATTACTTCTGTGAACAATTTTTTTATGTCAATTGTACTTTCTCCTGTTTTTTCTTGGCTCCTATCAGTCTTATGTTATTCTTCTTTGCATCATCTAGCAGCTGCTGGATTGATTTCTCGTGGTCCCTTACTATCTTTAAGAAATCCCTGTTTTCATGGTCCTTAACTGTGATCCTGTCTTCTATATCTGATATTCTGTCTTCAATATCTGATATTCTGTCTTCAGATTCTCTTAGTCTGCTCTGCATGCTTTTAATGGAGTTTTTAGTCTCCTGAATATCTGTTTGAATCTGTTTCGTGGATTCCATTTTTTTCTTATGTTGGGTGATCATGGTTTCCATTTCTTTCTTATGCTGGGCATTCATGGCTTCCAGCATGTTTCTGATGTCATCTATTTTCCTGTCTGTTTCTGCTCTAGAGCCTCTAATGATGTCTTTCGCTCTACTCACCATCTCTGTATTTATCTGGGAGATTATGTCTGTTTTGAATTTTTCTAGAGCCTCATGTATCTGCTTTATTTCCTGTGCCATCAGTTCAGGGTGTCCAGGTGGTTGATTATCTGACTTTTCCACCTCGTTTCCCCCAGAATTTCCTTTTTATGGTATGGAAGCCTGCGTTTATGCCTTGCATAAGTGTCCTCTCATTTTTGTTTTTGGTACTGTCCTTGGTTTAATTCCTGGGTTGATATTTCAAAATTGCTTAATGCAGATATCTTTGTTGCTTGTGTTTAAAACCCTTGTGGAATGATTGCTTTTCAGAGGTGTCTGCCAGATATGGCTTGTGTTTAGGTTTTGAGGCTCTAATGACTCTGAGGCTATTTTATTTTCCTTATACCAGGAAGGAAAACTGATTAGATCAATCACAACATGTTAGGCCAAATGTTACAATCAGCAATACCAAGCATCAAGCGCAGTTTAGAGGATGACAATTTGTGGTAGTTATTAGTTTATCACATTTAACTATGTGAAATATAATCCCCTGTGCCTCAGTAGTGAGGGACCAGGTAGTAGAAGAGCCATAAGGCGGGGGAGGGGGGGATGGATGGAATTGGGCCTTGCAGGCGCCCGCATGGCTAAGTGGAGCGCTGGATGAAGGCAGGGCTCCAAACCCCTCCTGGGACTTCACCGTGTCATGGACAGGAACCCTTAAATCAGTTTTTTAAAAAATAAAGTCAATCATGGCATGCTTGGTGTTGACTGGTTTCTTCCTTCATTCTACTTTGTGTTCCATGGAATCAATTTTAGCCTATTAAAGCAGCAGCCAAAAATAATCAATGCTATATTCTTTATTGTTGACCTTAGCATGGAAAAATAAAGAAGTCTCTTATTCATGGAATATAACTGCTTCATTTCAGCATTAGATTGGCTCAACTTAGTCACCACATCCACAGCTCCCCAATAAATGTCTCCAGGAGAATATCAGCATCAATTGTCTCAGCCCTGTGTTTCCAAATCAATCATTAATTCAGGGGATGAGATCACTCTGATTGGCTAGAGCTCTGAAGCAAAGTTCAATTCCTAAAACTATTGTACTTCTGCATAACAAGATGATAGGATTGAGAATGAGGTTAAGGGATAAATCACAAACACCAATACAGGCAAGGAGGCCATATCCATGTATAGATGGAAGCTGCACATTCACCCCAGCCAATTTGGTGCCCTGGATTTCATATCCACTCACTAACTTCAAGTCTTCCCTCCATTTTGTTTCCTCTCGGCACAAACTGACCCACCTGACCATGGGGATAAGGCCAACACCATGGGACAGAAGATAAGCTCTTGAGAGTTAGCAGCTCTAGGGTGAAACAATGGACTGGGCCAGCAATGCTAACCTGAAGAAAAGCCCACAGCTATTGTAAATGACACAACAATGTAGGGTTTTACTCTGAAAGTGATTCCTTCACAGCAGGCTAGAGGTGCAGAAGAAATCTATATTGGAACAAGTTTAATCAGGTGCCATTTTGAGAAGAGGTTGTTTCAGCCTGAGGCACAGAACAACTTTACCTCAAGGTCTCCAGTATTACTCTGCCACAGTGACTAGGTGAGAGAAAGCCACAAGAGACTGCTGTAGGGAGGGTATGGGTAGACACAGATGCCCTGAGAAGTTCAAGTGCAGGCTGGGAAAAACACAGATTCTGCCTTCCAGGTTGAGAAGTTAGGACCGACAAACGTGGCTATCAGAAGGGCCTGGATCTGGCATTAAGTCCAGTGGTCTTGTTGAACCCCTACCCCACTGCCTACATCCAGCAGAGACTAGTGGTTCGATTACTCTCTCCATCTACCAAAGTGAGCAAGGATACATCTTGACTTGGGTGGTGATCACCGTCTGCAGTCTATGGATAGAGGGAGCTCTGGAGCAGGGTGGAGCACCTCACAAAAACACAGGCCATAAATCAGGGGGAGAAAAGCATGACTTGTTGGATTCCAAGACTGCAGATCTTGGAAAGAAAGCACCCATTCAAAAATACTTAGCTTGGGCCGGGGATTTAGCTCAGCGGTTTTGCCGCCTGCTGCGCAAGCGCAAGGACCTGAGTTCAATCCCCGATACCAAAAAAAAAAAAAATACTTAGCAATTTTTGGTCTGTCTTTCTTTTTTTTTTTTTTCTTTCTTTCTTTCTTTCTTTCTTTCTTCCTTCCTTCATTGTTTTGGGGGATTTGGGGTTTTTCTCTTTTTTCTTTCTTCTGTAATATTTTTCCCTTCTTATTTTTCTCTTTTCCTTTATTTTTCTCCAAGTTTTCTCTTTTTTCTTCTTTTTCTTATTTGTTTTTACCTTAGTTACTTCCTTGTCACTGAGACACAATACTCAACACCCACGACTCTAAGGAGGAAAAGCTCTTTGGGCTCAGAGTTTGTTAATAGTTTCAGTCCATATGCCATTGGCTCCTACACAGGGCAATGGCAGAGGAGAAAGAGCTCATGGCATGGCATCAGGAAGCAGAGAAAAATTAAGGGAGGAAGGAGGGAGATATACCCATCTAAGACACACCTTCAGTGACCCACCTCCTCCAACCAGGTTTCACCTTCCAACATCACTTTTAGCTATAAACTTTTTTTTTTTGGTACCAGAAGTCGAACTCAGGACCTTGTGCTTGCCAGGCAGGCACACTGCCGCTGAGCTACATCCTCAGTGTTTTAGCTACAAACTTATCAGTGGATTAAACTACTGATGAGTGTCATGATTCAGTCACCTCCCCAAATCCCCGCCTATGAGGCCCCATGTAAGAGGCTTTGGGGGATATATAAATATAAACCATAATGTTCCATTTCTCTCCCCCAAAGAACTCATGTACATCTCTTTATGCAAAATACATTTAGTCTGAGAGGGAAAAAGGGGAGACATAGGGGGATAGAAAGGAATGTTATCAAAGCAAGACCAAAATTCAGCAAGGCAAACATTGAACATTAAATCCTATAGTTCCATATCCAGCACCTGGGGCAAGTTGTGGTGAGATATGAACTCCAAAGGGCTTCAGTGGCCCCACCTCGAGAACAATGCCCATGGTTGTAGCCCTTCTGGCTTCTCCTTGGGCTGTCTTTCCTCAGACATTCCACATTCCTGGCTTTTCCAACACCCTAGGGTCTCCACTGCACTTCACCCTCTAGCTTCACACACTGACCTCTCAGGGGCTTATTGCCTGGACTCCCTGGCCTTCTTCTGATATCTGGGTGGAAGCCTCCCTGTCACCACAACTCTTGCATTCTGAATGTGGATGATGCCAAGGTCTGCTGCCATCTGGAGTCATAGATGAGCCCTTTTGCATCTTGCTGGTGGTTGCAGAGGCCTCCCAAGTTCCTGGCTGGCTGGCTGTGCGCAGTAAACTGAATCATGGGGAATCAATTGCCTAGGTGGTCCTTCTCCGACAGAGTGCTTTGGGGCTTTCTTTTCAAAGCACTATCTTTAACCTTTGCAGTTTTGAGCCTGCAAAGGGTGGATTTTTTTGAGATTCTTCCCATGCCTTCAAGGCATCGTTGTATTGTCCAGATCCCAAGTTCATGGGTTCTTTCTTTTTTATTATTCATTCATTTTATTGGTACATTTTAGGTATACAATATGCTGACATTCATTATTGGGATTATTTGTACCTTTACATGATGTATCTTGGTTCTCATTTTTTTCCCCATTCCTCTGCCCTCCCTTCAACCCCCTCTACCCCTCCCTATTTACAAAGACTTTGTTTCCATTTTTTCCTTTTCAAATATTTATTCCATTCCCTTCTTTCCTTTCCCCTACCCCTCTCACTTCCCCTTCATGGGTTCTTTTAATGCTAATCTTTTTAGCAATCAAGCTTTTATCTACTTCATCTTTGCAGGCTCCATCTTTATAGGAGCTTCCTTTCTGGCCCAACTCAAAACTTTTAAAATCATTCAGCTGTGCTTTTAGCTCTTGATTCTCAAGTTAGAGCTGGCTAAAATCCCCAATAGTACCCAAGTTACAGCCTGAGTGTTTGGCTGCCTTGACATTTCCTCCACCAGATTAATTAGTCAGCCATGCTTAATCTCAGTCTCTGGCAAAGTCTCACGACACGAGCAAAATGTAGGCACATTTTCTGCCAAAGCATAACACACATGGCCTAGAGTCCAACTGCCAATGCACTCCTTGTTCCCAACTGAAACCTCCTGATCCTGGTCTTTACCAGCTGTATTTCTGTCAGCATGCTGGTCTTCTGAGCACTAACCAGAATGTCCCACCAAATTCAGCTTACAGTATTCAGGGATGCTTCTCCAGCCAGCATCTCCAAATCTTTCCAAATTCCTCCTGCTAGCGAGTTCCAAAGGCCTCTGAAACATAAGGTCACATAGCATCACAGTAACCCTTACTTATCTGGACCAAAATCTGTTACTTTCTAATCACTAAGACATAATACCTGACACACACCTCTAAGGAACATCTAGATATAAGCCATTACAGGTCTTTTTTGTTGCTCTATCTAATGCTGTTAATATTCTTTTACTTCTTAACAGGATACTTGAGTTCATTTTTCTCTCTTCCTTCTCATTTTCCGTTGATTAATTTTTCAAATTTTACTTTTTTCATTCCCCTATTTGCCACCCTCTCTATTTTTACTAGTATAGCCATTAAATTTATTAATATTTAGACAATTAACCCTATGCAATTATTGCTGAATACTTTTCTATTGTTAGTGAAGGCATAGTTGTTGCATTTAATAGATATTTACTATATGTCAATATTTGGTTTGTTTTAATGTTTATACTATAATTATAGATCTCTTTTCTTTGGTTAAGGTGGTACATTACTGGTTCTTAGTGTACATTAATATCCAGTTTGTTTTTGACATTATTATTGTTCCTGATTTAAATGCTATTGACAGTAAGGCATAGTTGTTGAGAATAATTGGTTTTGTTTGTATGCCAATATCTGGGTTGCCTTTGTGTCATTAACAATACTGCAGCCCATTCCCAGAGAACTGTATGCTGGGTCAATTGCACTGCAGGATCCCTTCCTAAATTAATGGAAGTGGTTGGATTTTGGGACAGAGGCGAAGGTTAACCACACCCAGAGTACATCAGTGAAAAGCAGATAATAACTGAAGAGGTCTCCATACTAGCAACAAAGTCTGTCAACTATAATAAATGAACAAAACTCAGCACATGCACACACACACATACACACACATATACACACACGAAACATGAGAAGACAGCACAACAAAATGCCTCCAAAAAATCCCAACTCCCCCAAATATGACCCATGAGGCATCAAGGGGGAAAGGCATCAAAGGCCACACAGCTGAGTTACTAGGAATGATAAAAGAGGGTGTTATGGCTTGTGCCTAGATGTCCCTCCAAAGCCTCATGCAGTCATAAGTGGGGTTTCTTTTCAGAAGTGGCTGGATCTAGAGTGTGTGATGCTGGGATTGATCCATGGTGCAATGCTAGGCTCAAGGGCACTAAGATTAAGGGTGTGAGTGCTACCCACCTTAAATACCCTGGATAAGATATAAAGGATAGAAAGAGCTGTGATCATCCCTTGTTCCTTTGCTACTTTCTGCCCACCATGAATTGTTTCTCCTCTGCAATGCCACCATGCCTTTGAGCCAACCAATTATGGACTGAAACTAATTCAGACTATGAGCTAAATAAACCTTTCCTCCCTTAACTTTGGTTGTCGGGTATTTTGTCTCAGCAATGAGAAAAGTAACTAACACAGGGGAGATTTGTAAAAAAGCAAATAAATAAAGTGCTTGGTGAGCTCAAAGGTGGTATAACTAATCAAAAATGGAAAAAAACCAAGCAAAATGATCAATGAGTTTACAGAAGACACTAATAAAAAGCTAGCTGAGCTAAAGAAATAATACAAAACATGAACGACCAATTTAGCATAGAATTAGAGCCCATGAAACAGTACCAAACAGAAACCCAGGGGATTAAAAATTCTATTGAACTGTATTGTATACCTAAAATGTACCAATGAACTTAATAAAAAAATTCTATTGAAAGTATAGGAAATAGAAGTGACCAATGTGAGGATAAAGTGTCAGAACTAGAAGATAGGGCTGATTTCAATGACCAATTATTCAGAGATGTCTTTACAATAATAAGAGAACAAAAACAATGGATCCAAATCTGCTAGATGATGCAAAGAAGAAGAGCCTAAAATTAAAATTAGTGAAAAATCAGAACGTGGCACAAATGGCATAAAAAACAGTTTACAGAAGTAATAGCAGAAAGGATCCATATATAGGGAAATAATTTAACATATAGATAATTGCAGCATTTAGAACCCCATGCAGCCATGATCAGAAAGGAACATCTCCACTGCATGTCACTGTCAAAATCCCAGAAGCCCAGCACAAGGACAGAATCTTGAAAGGCATTACAGAAAATCCACAAATCACTTATCAAACTAAAGCCATTAGAATTAAAGTAGGCTTCACAACACAAATCTTAAAGGTTAGAAGAGTTTAAAGTGAAGTGTTTCAAGTGCTAAGAGAAAACAACTTCCAATCCAGACTGATGTATATTCTGCAAAACTGTCTCAAAACAGATGGAGAAATAAGGTCTTTCCATGAAAAAAGCACCTTAAAAATTTATGACCATCAAACCAGTGCTTTAAAAATTCTCAAAATTAGCCTAGAAGAGACAATGAAGCTAACAATACCAAAAGGAATAATAGAATGAATACATGCAGCAGGATGAGCAGTTAAACAGAAGGAAATAAAGGGAGTCAGCAACAGGAAAGTAAGTCAACACCTTTCAGGAATAACTCTCAATGTGAATGGTCTCAATTCTCCAATCAAGAAACACAGTTTGTGCCGGGGATTTAGCTCAGTGGTTCCAGCACCTGCCTCGAAAGCCCAAGGTCCTGCGTTGGATCCCTGGTACCAAAAAAACACACAGATTGATGTAATGGATCATGAAACAAAAATTTAATGGTATACTGTAGAGGAGAAACACATTTAGTCTAAAAAGAAATTGATGAAGATTAAAGGCTGGAAAGCAATATTCCATACAAAAATAACCCCCAAACAAGCAGAAATAGCTATCATTTTCAGACAAAGTAAACTTCAAGCCAAAACTCATCAGAAGAAGCAAAGAAAATCACACATATTGATTAAGGGAACAATTCAACAGAAAGAGATAACAATTATAAACATATATACATAAAACACACACATATAAACATATATACATAACTTCAAGTAAAAAACACTACTGGACATAAAAAGTCAGATAAACATCACCATAATTATAGTGAGAGGCCTCAATATTCCACTGTTGCAAATAGATCAACTAGACAAAAAAAAATCAACAAAGAACTATTAAAGTTGAACCAATCCTTTGTACTTAATAGATATCTACAGAGTATTCCACCCAACAACAGAATACACATTCTTTTCAGAAAGGAACTTTCTTCAAAATAGACCCCATATCAGCCAATAAATCATGCTTAAGTGAATGCAAAAGAATTGCATCTTGTCAGACATGGCACAATGAAACTAAAAAAAGTCAATGGCAAAAGAAACCACAGAAATTACTTAAACATATAGAAATTAAACAATACACCCTTGAATAATCAATGGGTGACAGAAGGAATCAAGGAAGAAATTAGCCAGTTCCTAGAATCAAATGATAATGCCAGTACAGCTTGCCAGAACCTATGGGACACAATGAAAGCAGTCCTAGCAGAGAAGTCTATAGAAGTTCATAGAAACTTACAGCTTTGAATGCCCACATCAGAAAAACAAAACAACAAAACAACGGAGTCCAAATAAGTAACCTAATGGTGTACCTCAAGGTCCTAGAAAAACAAGAACTACCCAAATCCAAAGCTGGTACAAGGAAGGAAATTTATAAAGATCAGAGCAGAAACTAATGATTTTGAGACTAATAAAATACAAAGACTTAATCCAAGAGATGATTTTATAAAAGAATAAATAAATTCTTAGCCAATTTTACTCAAAAAAGGAAAGAAAATACTCAAATCAATGCAATTAGAAGTGAAAAAAAGTGAAATTACTACAGAAACCACTGAAATTCAGATTATTAACAACCACTTCAAAAACCTGTACTCTAAAACTTTGGAAAATTCAGAAGAAATGAATAGATTCCTAGTTATATATGAATTAACCAAACTGAACCAGGATGACATAAATACTATGAATAATCCAATAAAAGGCAATGAAATTGAAGTAGTATTAAAAACCTATCAACTAAGAAGAGCTCAGGACTCAATGGATTCACCACTGAATTCTACAAGAACTTCAGGGAACATCTAATTCCAATACTCTTCAAGGTCTTCAATAAACTTGAAATGGAAAGAGTATTTACAAAGTCATTCCAGGAATCTAGCATTACCCTGACTCCAAAACAAGACAAGGTTGCAACCAAAAAAGAAAATTACAGGCCAATTTCTTTAATGAACACAGATGTAAAAATCCTGAACAAGATACTGGCAAACAGAGTGCATCAAATCATCAAAAAGAGCATACATCATAACCAAGTTGGCTTATCCTAGAGATGCAAAGATGATTCAACATATACAAATAAATAAATGTAATAGATCACATAAACAGGAGCAAGGACAAAAAACACATGATCCTTCCAAAATATGCAGAAAAAGCCTTTGACAAAATCCAACATCCATTCATGATAAAAATTGTTACAGAAGAAAATAGTTATAGAAGGACCTTACCTCAATCTGATAAAAATCATTTATGGAAAACTACTGCCAGCATCATATTAAAGGAGGAAAAACTGAAAGCTTTCCTTCTAAAATCAGGAACAAGGGTCAGGGATTTGGCTCAGTGGTTCCGGTGCCTGCCTCACAAGCGCAAGGTCCCAAGTTCGATCCTCTGTACCAAAATAAATAAATAAATAAAATCAGGAACAAGGCATGGATGTCCACTATCACCACTCTTTTCAATCATAGTAACTGAAACATTAGCCAGGGCAATCAGGCAAGAGAAAGAAGTAAAAGGGATATATATAGGAAAAGAAGTCAAATTATCATTATTTTCAGATGACATGATCCTCTACATAAAAGATTCAAAAAATTCTACTGAAAGATTCCTAGAATTAATAACCAAATTCAACAATGTAGCAGGATATAAAATGAGCACACAAAAATCAGTAGCCTTCCTGTACACTGATAATAAACTCACCAAGAAAAAAATTAGGAAAACAATACCATTCACTATAGCATCAAGAAAAATTAAAAACTTAGAAATTAACCTAACCAAGAAAGTAAAAGAACCCTACAGTTACAACTATTGTACTCTGAAAAAGGAGATTGAAGGGGACATCAGACAATGAAAAGA